TATCCGATTTTTGGTTTAGGCATTAGAATCATCAACATGATTATTGCAGGTAGCTGCTTTACAGTGTCATCAGTTTAGTCATGTAGCCACATTTGCATTGCTCATTTCTATTGTTAGTTCTTGATAGTACACGAAAATTGATAAAGATCAGATGCCATTATAGAAATACCAGTTATCGTCCATTTTCAGCTTTGATTGATCTTCCATTCCTTTGTATGAAATCATGAAACCGCTGAAAGAAAGGTTTAATACGTGTCATGGTTAGTGAGATAAAATATCACAACAACAGCGTAAAGAACCTGGTATAGATAAGGTCAAAGAATGACTAATTATTTGAATCATTCAGAAGGTTGTTAACACTATTCATGAAGCATCTGAACAGGGCTCATGAAGGTTAATGCATCAGGTTTCCAATGAAATAAGTCTTATTTGCAGAAGAATCAGATGGGTCAATTATTGCCGAAGAGGAACTGCAGACGAATACTGATTGTTGGCTTTGCTCTGTGGAAACGATACGTCATTCGTCTATGCTGCTTAGAACAAGCCACCGCCAGTGATGAACGTTACCCAGCAATTTTTGATGAATTCTATATCGCTGACTCTATGTGAATGAACTTCATAGGCAGAAGTTTATTTCCACATGGCAGAGGCTTACAGCCACACTATTGCTTCCATGCAAAAGGGTTTGATCCTTCGTGCGACCTTCTTCCTGGATGTGTGCACCAGTTCACTTGGAATTGTTCTTTTGCAACCTGGTTTGCCTGATATATGCGTTTTGTAAACTGGTCATGAACCGAGGGAGAAGCTAACTACACTTCAAAACTACATTCGTCAAATAAACGTTAAGATCATGAGAACTAATTCGCACATTGCTCAGCCACAATCAGATGGTGTATCCAATGAGTCATAAATTCTCTTTTAAACTGGTTTCTTTGGAGATTACATCTGTACTAAAGCCAAGACATTAGAGCTGCATACTGTACTGTGTTACGATTTCGTATGAAGTTTTCCATTTGTTTTTATGGTGCATACGTTTAACGAAATTGCAATTTCAAATTGAACTAACACTCCACGGCTACTCAGCGTATTCCAGCAATGGAACGAATGGTTTGAAGTTGTTTGGTTGTTTATATATCCATGTAAAGGAAAAACGGAGGTAGCTGATGTAAAGAGGGACACAAATATGTCTTTCAAATGTTGAAATCACAGCGTCAGCGAGGTTCATTTTAAAAAATAGGTTAAGCTCTTTTGGATCGATCAAATTCAGCCGCAGATCGCTATGACCCAACACGATCAATATTATATTTCGTAGCTGACACTTGCTTGCTAAACTGCAATTAATTCTGGGAAAGCCTGATAGATTGGCGAACAGAGCTAGCGGCGTCTGTCTTCTAAAAGCTACGAGAGAAAATTCTGCAGGTGTAAGATCTTCATTGGCCATTTCTGGAAGCTTTGTGTCCTGTACTGCGAAGGACAGACAATAATAATGATCAACATTGGAATTCACTTCAATTCACCTGAAGCAGTGCACTTCTGATCCTGTTTTTAACAATAAAGTGTGCATGTTTGTGACGAGGCTGCGAAGTTAACTACAAGGCTTCATGTTTGTCTTTCGAATATCTAAAACGTGTATGACGAAACAGTGAGCAATGCAGTTTCGAGTAATATACGGAGTTATGAAGCTGATTGATATTGGTTTCCAATCTGTGTGATCTATATCGACAGCAGAATTTGTTTTGGAGTCACGAGGTTCAAATCGTGATCTTTCACCATGTTCACTAAACTCAATCAAAGGTGTATTCTGTACATATTCATTTTATACATTGGCGATATGCATCAGCTACGAGCAGAAAGGCGCAGTTAATTAGAGAAACGATTCAGAGTCAATGATATTGATATGAGACCTCTGCTGTTGAGAACTGTTTCGTTTCCTCCTCATTGACTTGAAATGACTCCAGAGTATCGCGAATGACATACAAATAAATCTACATCGCAGAGCGATTCTCTTTTGAACTCATATGAATATTATCAATTAATAATTGAAAAAAATATACAAATTTAGCTCCATCAGGGTTGCACCTTCAAATGATAAAATTTAGGCATTAAAGATCTATGGACATACCGGAATAGCCACAAAGACTCAATAACGAACTCAATGTTAACTTCAACTCAGGCCAAATTTGACTGAACTTATCATATGCGACGGTCAATAATAAGCACGAAAAATGTTGGACCTAAAAACGTTGAGACTGTCTGTGAGGAAAAATCGTTTGAACTAAACGCCTAGATGTTATTGAAACAATCGCATTAAGAATGTTAGAAGATGCTTCTCAAAAAGCATGAGATGAAAAAGTTGCAGAACGATTCTTTGTTCATTTATTCGGTTGAAGAGTCTGCTGAGGGGCGAGGAGGAATGGTGCAGCGAATTATCAGATTTTTTGCCCTTTGACAATGCGAATTTCAAAAGAAAATTTGTCTTATTCAGTAGCAATTTTCCTGAGCAAGGAAACCAGTACCTTGTGTCTGGATCAAATGAGGCTGCGAAACAGTGCCAAGCCACCGACATGCGAGTAACAGGTGGAACATAGCCATCCGTTGCAGATATTTAAGGCTCTGAGATGGATATGACCATGTTGCCTGATGCTTTGCGTGTTAGCATGTCCATTCGTCTTAGTGTACATGATAGC